TCTCAGTAAACATGGCAGAATTAGGCCTGTATTGAAAATGGAATCAGGATTAGTGGTATTAAAATGCAAAGAATTTAATTCTTTTCCAATCTCCCCTAGGAATGTGTTCTCAAATGCTAGAAACAGAGCATTAAGGGACTAAGGAAGGACTTAAGTGCTACGAGTTTGATTTACAGTTGGGGTTGTTCTCTCTGCAGTGGGATGACTAAGCCAAGAGAAGTTTTTAATTTTTGAGTATACTACCTCAAAACACTGCTGACAAGGAATTCACATGGTACTACTGTCAAAAGTTTCTTTCCTTTAATGACTCCCGTATGTCAAAAGCATTGCTTGTTGTATGATGCTGAGTCTTCATGTGCAGACATGAACCAGCTCCACACACCCATTTAACTAGTGATAATTAGTGGAATTACTCTGTCAGTGGAGGGATTTTTTCACTATACTCAAAATCTTCAGTAGTAACAGAGCTTGTTTCACTGACAGAAAGTACTGGCCAAGACTTGAGGCGTTTGCTTTCATATGTGTATGTCCATACATACCGTATTACTTTAATTTCCACTTTCTCTCTTTCCTTTTTGCACTGCTTTCCTTTAAGTTGTAATAAGATCTTCACTTTCTTCTCGAGTTGCCACCAGGCATGAACAGCACTTCTCAGCTGTTCTTATCTGACATTCCTGTTTGCCCAGGCCGGAGGCAGAAAGAGGTATCACAGAATCACAGAATGTCAGGGGTTGGAAGTGACCTCAAAAGATCATCTAGTCCAGCCCCCTGCCAGAGCAGGATCACCAGAGCTAGCTTATTACAGTAGAAGGCATCATGAAAATGCCACCCTTCTTCCAGTGTCTGGGAGCCCTCTGGAGACTCCTGTAATGCCATGGGAAGCTGCATGGAAGGCCAGATTCTTGTATGTGCTTAATACAGTGTGTGGGACTTAAAATAACAGTTCTTGTTAGCTGTGAATCTCAGCCATGGATGCCTCCATTCTGACTTAAAAGAACTGTTTGTCCAGAGTATTTCCAGCTCTCTAATTCTCTTTCTTTCTCTGACCCACATTTTTATTGGGCTCTGTAGAACTTCAATGAAGTTTCGAATAAACTTCATTATATTTTTGGATTGTGCTTCCAAAGGAAGGTCATTGGTCACTTTGACAAGCATAGTTTACAATTTCGGCATCAGTACTCATCTTGATGAGACTTTGGGATCTGTATTTCATCCCTAGTGATCTATATGATGGAGGAAAAAGGGTAAATTATAGTGCTCTTAGAACTCAAGTATTTTCCCAAACACTGTTTATTGTTTTTTATTTCCACAACATGTAAGCAGTTAATGCATTGCCTCTTAAGTCTTTGAGACAGTTACAGAACAGGAAACTTTTTAATTAAAAAGTTAAGAATTGCTCTGTTGAACTTCTTGTCCTTATTGTATTGTTTCTAGTGAGTTATGTGCAGTATTGCAGTGAAATATTGGTGACTGCTTGGAAAAAAATGCATACTTTTCCATGAGCCACAAATACTTAAAGCACCATCTTCCTCTGTCATCTGTCAACAGAGTGTTCATACCAAAAAGAGGAAAAAAAATGGTGTTTCCAGCTAGGCAGAAACCCCAGCAACCAAAGTCTCTTGTCTCACCCTGCCTTTCTGACCACAAAATGTGGCTTTTCTGGAGAATACAACCTCTGACACAGCGAGGAGAAATGCTTCACTGGTGAGCAAATGTCTCAGAGATGCTTCTCTGCAGGTTTTTGGTATGGGTGAGATGGGAATGTTTGGAAGTTCATAAAGAGAAGATTTTGTGCCCAGAAAGAAGAATCTTGGTCCTGGCTTTGCAGCATTGGAGGAGGGAAGATTTAAGGCTGGGAAAGTGTCCTGGAAAGGCAGAGAGAGCCCAGGCCTGCCGTGTGTGTTTCTGTGTGTGTGCAACACTGACTTTCCTGGCTTGCATCACACTAAAAATGTTTTCTTCCCTTTCCCCTTGCCTGCCGTGGCTCCTGCTGACCATCTCTTCTGCCTCCTCCTCATCGTTATCAGCCCTGGCACATGCTGTTCTCCTTCTTTGGTTGTCTCAGATATGACTCTACTCTTTTAGCTATTCTGTTCCCCGCCTTCCTTGCTGGATGGAAACAGCTGAGGCTACAAAAATTTCCTTTCTGTAAGCAGAAAAGATGTTAAAGAGCTTGTGATCAGACTCACTTACCAATTATGCCAGAGTTAACTTTTAAACATATTGCGTTATATAAAGTCTTGTGATGAGCTAATGAAAACAATGGAGAGGAAGTATTATTTTATAGCTGTTAAGTTGGTCAAAGGCTTTGGTAGCACCGAGCACAGAGTTTGTAGCAATTAAGAAAACCTATTCTGGCTGCCACTGCCTCAGCTGAAATGTCCAGGGTGGAACATTCCACCCCCACTTCCCAAGAAGATATTCGTAATTATTTTGAGAGAAAAAATGCTTGGACTTTTCTACTATAAAAACAGGTACTTGTTTATCCTTGGTTTTAATTCTTTCTTTCAATGGGTCTCAAATCCTGCAGTGCCTGTAACATCAAGCTGTTCAAGCTGCATTGCAGCAGCTCACACTGCGCTGTTGCTATTGTTAGTTGGCCTGTGCTTCCTTCCCCTTGTAATCGCACTTGGGTGTCTGGGCTTAAGCCAGACATGCATCAGCCTCTCCATAGCAATTCCCACTTTTCCCCTTCCCCTAGGAACTTCTGGATCTATTGACCAGTTTGGGAGTGCTGTGGAGCAACCTGTTCCCAGTGCCAGGGCTGGTGGTGGTAGTGCTGGGTCCCCCTTGCACCTGCACCAGGGTACGCACCAGGTGGCTGGGCTCCCTCCTGCAGGCCAGGCAGTTGCTTGTTAATCACTGGGGCCTTAAGCCTGGAAAGAAGCTGGATGTCCTGAACTTTGGAGTCGATGCGAGTTCGCGGCGTTCAGTTTTCTTGAAAAATTAGACCTTGTGGAAGTCGGGGCATATAAAACATTTCTGCTTTTACCTCACAAAGCCCTTCAGAAAAGGGCATGGAGCATACTATAAATGAAGTATTCCGAGGGGAAAACAAAAATTTCCTGACTTATTCTTGGCACCAAATATTTAATCATGACATTTGGTCTAAGAAAATGTACGAACTCTCAACACTGCCAATTTATTTTACCCACAAGCCAACAACAGACCGATGATGTGCACACAAAGGTTATTTATTTTGAGTGCAGCCAGGGAATGTGAGTATTCCAACTTCCTTATATCTCCCCATGGGATCTCTTTAATAAGTTGCATAATATTTTTCTGTATTAGAGGACCGTAAGATAGACATTGTAGGTCTTCTCTTTAATACACTAGTGATATTTTCTCTTTTATTCTTTGAAGGAAATGCAAGTACAGAATGAATAGTTTTTGAACAGTGTTAAATTAAAAAGTGTAACTTCAAAGGCCTTTCTAACAATTTATTCTAAAACTATTCTACAACTATCAGCCAAGAGATGATGTTCCAAGCAAAATAACTACTTATGTGGGAGGTTAGGCAAGCATTGATTTGGGGTTTGGTTTCTTGGTCTAGCAGATGATTCTTTAATAGGAAGAAAAAGAATACAAGACTTAAATCTCTGGACTTGAGTCCAGGTAGACCATCTTCTGAGGGCAAGTTTATACATAACCTGTAACAATTTTCCTGGAAAATGTGAAAGAAACTTGGATATTTTCTGTGGATCTTGGCTGACACTAAAATGCTCCTCATTAGAGATTGAGAGCAAGGTTAAAGAAGGATAAGGGAGTGCCTCATTGAAAGTATTTTAGTTCTTTCAAACTTGCATGAATTTATAATGCCATTGCTCCTCAGAGTGCAAAGGTATTTATCTGGAATATCAGGTGCAGTTTGATAGCAATCAGGTTACTAGGAAAAGCCAGTGTGGCTTAGTGGGCCAGATGTCACTACTTCATATAATTAGCATGTGACAACGTAAGACTCCAAACACATAACTTAAGCATTTAACATGTGGAGACGTGGAAGTAAAATTCCTTTTTATGCAGTACAGCACCAAACTCTAATTTTGACAAGAAAATTAGTAAAAGGGAGCTCTCTGTGGTTACTTGTTTTCAGTTTCTTTGATTCTGGTGTAACTTGCAATAATGTTCCAGCTTGGTCTGTTTTGTGCATTTCCTTGTGGGAAGCGATTGTGCCAATTCTAAATTGCTCTGGCTAAGTTGTGCTCTTCACCCTAGCTTGTGCAGTGGAAGAAAATTCCCTCATATAGTGTTGACTTTTGGCTGCATGTTTGTAAGACTTCTTTAGACCAAAACGTTACCAGAGAAGTACTTGCTGTGACATAAACTCTGCTTGGGAAAAGCATCTAGACCTATGTTTCTTCCTCATCTGTTATCTAGCACTTATCACTGACTAAAACTTTAAGAAATCATAGAACAGAATTTATGTTGATAAAGATGAGCCCGTTAACCTAGGAATGCCAAGTCTACCACTGAACCACGTCCCTAAGCACTTCTACAGGCTTTTTAAATGCCCCCAGGGATGGTGACTCAACTGCTTACCTGGGCAGCCTGTTCCAGTGCGTGACAATCCTTTTGGTACAGAAACTTCTCCTAATGTCCAGTATAGAATCATGGAATTGTTTAGGTTGGAAAAGACCTTTCATCTTCAAGCTCTTAGTGAAGCTGATTGGTTTTGAATCAGCAGCTTTGAGTTTGTAGGTTTTTTACACTGATCTTTGTAAAGCACGTCATGACAGCCCAAGTATTGTTGTCTGTAACACTTAATCCTGCATGCCACAACAACTTTTTGTACCTGGTTGTCCAGTCACGGTATGCGATGTTTTTATGTTTATATTGGATAAATGCAGTTTGTGGGTTTAATCTCATTAGGTGGGACTTGCTTTAATGTGACCTGTGTTCGTCTTTTCTAGGAATAACATGCTTGGAAGTACTTGGTAGTGTGGATCATCTGTATCTCAGCACATAAACTCCAGCTTAATCCTTTTCAAACACCTCAGAACATGGGGGAAAACGATGATGAAAAATACAGTCAAGCTGGCCAGATATTTGAAAACTTTGTGCAAGCGTCAACTTGCAAAGGTACCATTCAGGCCTTTAATATTCTCACTCGCCAACTTGAATTAGATCCTTTGGACAATAGAAACTTTTACACTAAACTGAAATCAAGAGTGACCACCTGGAAGGCCAAAGCTTTGTGGAACAAGCTTGATAAAAGAGCAAGTCACAAAGAATATAAGCGCGGAAAATCCTGTATGAACACTAAGGTAAGTGGAATTCAGTTTTAAATTTCATAGTTCGTAGTCTTTTAAACTTGTTTTTCTATAGAAGCACGGTTTACCTGTAACTGCTTTTTCACAAGCACAATGTTGGCAATTGCTATGTGGTAGTTACAGAAGGAGGTGATCTCCTTGCTTGTGGAAAGGATAGGAAAGGATCTCTTCAGCAGAGCCTACAACACTGTATTTTGACAGAGAACCACTGAACATTGATATAAATCTTGTTGACAAGACTGTACAAAATAATCTAGTTAATGACAGTTGTTTTATTTAGCTATCACAGAATATTTTTAATAGCTTTGATTCAGAACAATTCATATATTTGCAGCTAAAAGCTTCCCCAAGAAGAGTAAATTTTAAGAAGCTACTTGACTGTATAGAGGTAGAACAGGGAGGAGGGGCATGCTGGGGAATAACTAGAAACCAAACTCTGGAGGACTTTAAGAACTATCACTGAAGTGTTATTCTGTGGACTCAGTAGACAGGCAGTGTGGGAAATCTCTCTCCTTGTTAGCATTGTGGCATTGAAACTTCCCAAGAGCACCAGGGAGAAGCCCTCTGTTTTTATCTATTCATTTTAATAAGCTCCCAATGATTATTAACTTTTTTCAATGTAATAAATGTCCTTTCTACAGTTTTCTTTGGAAAACGAAGAGTGCCATTACAGCTATTTGCACCGGTTTCCTGGCACCCTCTGTTTCTCCTCTTTCCTTTTTCCCCTCTGTTTCTCTTTGACCTGTGCTTCCTTCCTCCCTTTTGTTCTTTCGAAACGTATGTCACTAAACATCTTCCTGTTGAAAACAGGCAGGAAAGGGAAAGAATGAGAAAGTGGCTGATGATTAACAAATTGTAGGAGATATTTCACATGCACCTCACCTGCACCTACGGCCTCAGGTTCAAATTTCTGTGGTTGGTTGGTTGAAGTATTTGCAAACAAAAAAGCAGTTTTGAGACCCATGTGAATTATAAGAATTAAGTCCTTCTCTCAACTGTGACATTACAAAGCCAAGACCTGGTTCTGTGAAGCTTTTAAGCAAAGTAATCGATTTTTATATATGGTGAGAAGACTCATGGAAATTGGTTGGTACGTAAAATATATCCTGTAAAATGTTTTGGAAGAGTGCCAAGCAGGAGGCTAATCAACACCTTCTGCAGTGTTGAAAGTATGGTGTTACTGCTCCTTGAGAGTAAGGATTTAGTTGTAGTGGCATTTAATGAGTATTTGCAGAAATAGGCATATATATGGTGCAGATATGAATAAATTGCAAATGAATATAGAATGTCTGTGTGTGTGTGTGTGTAGGTATGCTGTGAAATACTCATCGATGTTCCTTATGAATCTAGACCATGCCCAGACCTGCACTTCACTGTGTCATCACTGATTTAATGAGAGAAACATGAATCTTCTGATTGCTGCAAATGAAAGCAGTAACCGCAGTCTGCAGGCTTGGTGGGGCTATCTACCAAACATTCCTCACACGTGAATCACAGTCTGCTCTGAAAGCCTCTCTGTGCAACATGAATGAGAGGGGACACAATATCGGAAGACTGCAATGCCCTGATGGCTGCAGTGGTGTACTGACAGCTCCACTTACAGATAAGAAATTCTCAGAAATGCTGGCAGTCCAACCAAAATGCCAGTGCAGAGAGATTAGGCTATAATGCACATACCATGAATTTCCTTCAGTGCAACTGGTGATTTTAAGTTTCTATTTTTCTTGTGTGTTATGCCAGCTACCATTTTTAGTAGTGAAGTGGGCAAATGGGAGTTAGCAGGCTAAATCCTTGTGGCGGTGCCCGGTGCTTCCCTCTGTAGAGTTGCCTAAGGACTGGTTGAAATAGATCAGCACAAAGTAAAAATCTTACTTGCTAAAGCAGGATCACAAAATGAGCTAAGCAGATTTTTGCAATTGCAGTTCTGTAAACAGAGCCAAGGTTGCTAGTAGGTATAATTTTTTTTTTTTAAAAAAAAAAAAGTCTTGAAGGTTTTATACGAGATTGTGGCCATGAGCTCTGCAGCTCTCACTTCCTCTCAGACACAGCTTTGAAATCTGGTGCCTTCCTGCAATCTTCCCAATCTTTGAAGGAGATAAAGGAGATAAAGCACAACTGGGATCTAAACTGCTCATGATTTGGATTTGGGGGTTTTTTTTACTGAATTGGGAGACTGTTTTCTCACCCAAAAGCTTTTCGTTTTTTGCCACAGGATGAAAGAGCTGAATTCTGTAGTTGGTTTTTTTGCTTATAAATTCTTCAGCCACACTTAAGTTACTCATTACAATATACACAAGTTTTATACATACAGAATGTTCCAGTCCAACTAAATAACAATAATCCTGTGTCTTAACTGCTCTTGAAGAACATGGCCAAATATGGCTTTCAAAGTTTCTACAATGATACGATTTTAAGCTGGATGAATAGAACCAGTTGAACAATTTTCAAGAAGTTCAAACTGCTGTTTCAAAGTTGCCTTACTGAGGATATTATTTTCCCTTTGCTTCTTTGTAGAAGAAAAAGATCAAAAACAACAATAACAAAATAAAACTGAAGTGCTGTAGGAATACAGGCACAAATCTGGGTTAGAAACAAACTTTTAAACTACAGTAGCCCACCTGTATTTCTCTTAAATTTATATGGAATGTATGCTTCCTCCCATCACAAACTTGTAGACTGGGAATGAGAACTGTTCAGAATTGCTGCTTCTGGAGGTGGCATTTGCATAGTTCACGGGTATTGTAGAGAAGTCTGTCCTAAGTAGACAAAACTCTAGAAATCATACTATGATTTTTGCAAATACGTCTAGAAAAAGACAGCAACTTTATTATCCTGGAAAGTTTTCTCTCTCATTTAATGCAGAGTAGCATGCTTGGAATCTGTAATTTATTTTTTTTTGTTTGTTCATGGAATGAAGCATAGCTAGACAACTGAAGAAGATTAAAGGTTTAACATACATTGTTCAGGGTGCCAGCAGTTTGAATGTGGCCCTAAGTTTTTGAACATACAACACATAATACCATGCTGAGCAAGAATTCATCCAACTAATTGCAGAGCGCATTCAAGTAGCCTTTTAAAGACATGTGAGTGTTCTCTAAACGTTTATTTGAACCTCTCTGTATGGAGTAGATTCATACTTGCACTTGATTTACTGGCAGCTTACCTGTGTAAATGATACAAATGCGCATACACGTATAAACGAGGCTCTAAGTGATGTTTGAGACGGCTATGTATCTGTGTCAGAGGGCAGGACCTGGCACATGCTGCGCACCTGAAATTCTGGCTCTCCCATGACTGTGGATTCCTTCCTGAGGAGAGCGGGGATGGCTGCACATGAAAACATCCCACACTTTCTGAAGGGAGGTGTGGATTCTCTAAAGCATGCAAATGTTGTCTTGTCCTTCCCCTCAAACCTGTGTGCTGTTTTTTCAAAATACATGCATATGCTTGAGGATAACTAAGGAAACCTTGTTTAAAGTGCTAATGTGTAATTATCAGCTGCCTTGGTAGACTCTACTATTCTTCTCTGGATGTAGGAGTTTTGGGTGATGGTGGAGTTTCAGGTGATGGTGCTGTGCACCGGAGGGAAGGCAGCGGAAAGTTCCTGTGCACAGCTTTGGTCTTCTGAGCATTAGCTCTGTTGGTGACCTCACTTTGGGCAGAGGACTTGCATAGCCTGAGCTGCAGATTTGAGGCTTAACTGGACAACATTAGCATAAAGCAGGCAAATAAAATTGAGCTAATACATTTTTCATGCTGTATGTATAAATATATATATATAGGTGCATTTGTAGGTATATGTGTATATAGAACCATACTAATTCCTGAAAACCAAATTAAATGATCCTGAACTCATTCCCTGATGGCTTCTCTAATTTTGCTCGTTCTTGGACTTGGCCTTTCAAAACTTGCTTTATAATAGATTAAGTTCCTTTCCAAAAATTTCTGTTGGAAAACTTATTGCAAGAGAATGACTCTAAAATGATTTATGATCATGTTTCCAGGGCTTGTTTAAAAAGACGGTGGCTTTTTTCGGTAGTGTCGCACACCATCGAACTGACTCGGGCCAGGTGAGGTTGGTGTCTGTGCTGCAGGGAGGGCTCCAGGGGCTCCGCCACCAGGGCGATGCTTCAGCCGAGGCAGTGTCACAGCTTCAGCCGAGGCAGTGTCACCGGGAGCGTGGGGCCAAAGAGGGAACGGAGACCAGGGTGTGATCTGGCTGAGGAGGAGCCCTGGGTCAGAAATGGGGATGAAGGCTGGACATTTTGTGACTGACTCAGCTTAGTCTCCCTCTACTAACCACTCCAGTGCACCTATGAAAGACAGAGCAGGACAGTCTTACCTGCCAAATCGCTTCTGCTCCTTTTCATACTGTCTCCATTTCCAGAGACTGTGCAGTGAGTGCCTTTTGAGTTAATAAAACACACTTCAGCTGGTGCTCTCCTTCCCGCAGAGTTGAGAAAAGGAGATGTGCTTCTGTGCCGGGCTGGGTGCTGCAATGTTATGTAGCCGTAGGGTAATCAGCAGGAGGAGGGATGGATACCAGGTCTCTCTCCTTGTTATTAGATAGGAACTGGCTTCCTACCAGTCCTCAGCTGTTTACAAACATCCTAACCTGCAGTCCAGCCCCTCATGGTAAATGAGGCATGTTGGCTCCTGGATATCTTCCTCTGCCCCCTCTTCCTGTAGTGCTAAACAAATACTTGTCTCTTAATTAAGCAAATCATCCAGCATGTATAAACCTGCTGGTATTGTGGCTAAATTTCCTCCCGAAGTGCTGGCATTGGTTAATCCTTCAGAGGCAACTTGGATTTTGAGCCAGGTTTCTCCTGTGCTGTGTACACTGTTGGAAACCCAGTGAGTTTGTGCGTTTCAAGCATTATGATTGATTGTGTCCCTTCAGAAAAATATTTGTTTAGAAGAGAGTAATTGAATTGTAAGATGAAAGAAGGGAATGCTAGTTATGCTCAAACTCAGAAATATCCTTGTTATAA